CTCTACTAAAAATACAAAACATTAGCTGGGCATGGTGGCGCGTGCCTGTAATCCCAGCTACTCAGGAGGCTGAGGCAGGAGAATTGCCTGAACCCAGGAGGCAGAGGTTCTGGTGAGCCGAGATCGCGCCATTACACTCCAGCCTGGGTAAGAAGAGCGAAACTCCATCTCAAAAAAAAATATATATATATATTATCTAATAAATGTATGTTGCTTTTATGTTTAAAAGTTGCTGTGTTACCTACATCTTCTTCCTTTCTGTACCATTTGCAAGAAAGGGGAAAAAACCCTTACATATAGGATTAGCTGGATGGCAGGGAGTGAGAAAATAAGTATTTTATTCAACCTTTCTTTCTGGTCATTAGTTTCTCTAGGACAGCAACCAGACTTTCAGTGTTACATCTCTTTTAGAATTTGTCTAGCAGGTTTTCTGATCTTTACCAGAAAACTCCTTAAAAAAAAAAAAAAGAAACCAGACTTTCTTTCAAAATGAACAACAAACCATCCAAAAAACCCCATGAAAACAAAGAGATTCAATCTAACTTCCAGGGAGAAACAAGAGCAGATTTTCTGATCTAATGTTTTTTTCCCCCCCAGACTTAAAAGGACAACAGACATGATGTTTGGTGGAAAGCAAGTGGTAGTCTGTGGCTATGGAGAGGTGAAGTTTAACCTTTCATTTATTAGGTGTTTTAAATGGGTTTTGTTGTAATAATTCTGGAATTTTTTATTTGTATGGACTTAAGAGTACGCTCACGACTTTAGATGAGAAAAAGAACTTCAGAGGCCCTCTGGTTAAAGTACAGTCTTTCTTTCTCCCTTTGTGTTGCTCCCATTTTTCCTTAAGCTGATCTTCTGACTTGCTCCAGTACCACTGTTAGTGATGTTCTTTTAGCTTGTGTTTTGATTATGAATCGTGAGTGTGGGTGTTCTTGTGCACATGAATGCGGTAAGAAGGAGCCAGGGGTTTGTTTGTGAGCTGCATTCAATTATTTGTTCTTCTTGTTTTCCCCAAGCATGAATCTATTCAGTGAAATTCCTCTCGGGGGTGGAAAGAGGGGGTGCACTTTACCAGAAGCTTTGAGAAATGGTTTTGTCAGTGACTTTCCTTAATGTGTGTGCTCTTTCTCGTCTTCAGGTGGGGAAAGGGTGCTGTGCTGCCCTGAAAGCCATGGGCTCCATTGTGTATGTAACTGAAATTGACCCCATCTGTGCCCTGCAAGCCTGGTAAGCCTCTACGCCACCATCTCACTTGCAATCATGGAGCTGCCTCCAAAGAATGGCCTAGTTGATGCCACATTTTATTTTAGAGGGGCCCAGATCCTCAGAGAGGCTGCCACTAACTCTAAGCATGTGTTTTTCAAAGGTCAAGGAGCTCCGCTTGGAGAGAGCAGAGACTATCAGAAAAGCGAAAATTTAGAAATCCTGTGGAGATAGTAAAAGGGATTCTGTCAGCCAGAGAACAAGTAGCCCCTTACCTTTTCAAACAATGATCAGAAAAGAAATTGGCAGGCATCAGGTGCCTTATGATGTGTTACACTGAAAATAGCCCTTCTATGGTATTTCTCCCAAAAGTGTATAACCTGAATCTAATTGTGAGGAAACATTAGACAAATCCCAATTAAGGGTAAAATCAACTAACTCTGAGTGGAGGGTATATGAGAATTATTTACACTGCTATTATAGTTCTTAAGTTTGACATTATTCTAAAATTAAAAGTTAAAAAAATAGTTCCTTTCTTATCTCTAAAATGCGGGTAATCATACCTACCTCATAGGATTGTCAGAGTTCAATAAAATAATAGTTAACATAGGCTGGGCTTGGTAGGTTCATGGCTGTAATCCCGGCACTTTGGGAGGCTGAGGCAGGAGGATTGCTTCAGCCAGGAGTTGAAGACCAGCCTTGGCAACATAGGGAGACCCCATCTCTACAAATAATTTTTTAAAATTAGCTGGGCATGGTGGTGCATGCCTGTGGTCCCAGCTACTTGGTAGGCTGAGGTAGGAGGATTACCTAAGGCTGGGAGGTTGAGGCTGCAGTGAGTTGTGATTATGCCACTACACTCCAGCCTGGGTGACCCAGCAAGACCCTGTCTCAAAATAATAATTATTGTTATTATATATTATATATTATATAACAAATACATAATTATATAAGGTACAGAGCTGCTGCCACATAATAGATGCTCACTAGATTGTAGCTATTATTAAAATTGTCTCTTGCCATCCTCAGAGAGTGGGAAATACCACGGTCCTTAAAAACTATTGCAGAGTCTGAGTGTCTATAGCCTAGGGGAACCATCATCCTTCTAGTACACTAAGGGTTTATCATAGGAACCTGAACATGTTTTAATAACACGTTCTTAGATTCCTTCTCAGCACATATCACAGTATCTAATGCATAGTAAGTGATCAATTCATGTCTACAGGATAATCTAAACAGTATTACAGTTATCACAATTTATTAAAACAGTATCACAGTTTATTAAAACAAAATTTTGTAGACTCTTGACTCTTTTTCTTTTTTAAGAGATGGGATCTCACTATGTTGCCCAGGCTGGAGTGTAGTAGCTAGTCACAGGCATAATTGTAGTGCACTACAGCCTCTAACTCTTGGCCTCAAGCAATCCTCCTGCCTCAGCCTCCTGAGTAGGCCAGGACTATTGGCACATACCACCATGCCCAACTTCTATAAATCATGAATCCTATAGACATGAATTGATTACTTACTGTGCATTGCATACTGTGCTATGTGCTGAGAATGAATAAGATGAATAGATAGATGAGATAAGGTCCTGCTTTTAGAAGCACACAGGCAAATAACCACTGTGCCGCATAGTAAATGCTGTCATGTAGTTAAACAGCACATGCTTCTGTAGGAACATAAAGGAGAAATTGCTAACTGAAGAGCAAAGGAGCAGGGTAGAAAGAGACGTCAGCAGAGCTGAGTCTTGACATTTGTATAGATGTTTTCCTAGTTTGGAAGTATATTTCAGGTACAGGGAACATGTGTGTTGTTTCCAAGGAAGGAGATAGCATGGCATATTTAAGAAGCTGGAAATATTTTAATATAGTTGGCAGATGAGATACATTTGGGGGAGTGGTGCTATCAAAGGTAGGAGTCATATGTCAATAAAGTCACATATCACTTAAGTATTTGGGTCGTATTATAATCCTGCCTTATCCTTAAGAACAGGCAGTCTCGCTGAGGTATTTTAAGCAAGGAAGCAACATGATCCAAATTTCATTTAGGAAAATCACTCTGCAAAATGATTTAGAAAGATGTAAACCTATCGCTTCTCGGCCTTTTGGCTGAGCTCAAGTGTAGAAAGATGTAAACCTAGAGGCAATGAGATTGGGCCAGGGGTTACTATAGTAATCTAGGCAAGAAGTAATAGACCTAAATTTAAGCAAAGCCAGTATACATTGGAGAGGAGAAGACAGATGAAAGCGACTTTTAAGGAATTAAAGAAAAAGAGCCAGATTTGGTGACAACTTCAGTTAGGAAGAGGCAGCAAGGACGTTCTTGTTTATATGGCTCATACAGTTGGATGAACAGTGATGCTATTGATCAAAATAGAAAATATAGAAGAAGAAATAGATAAGGCTCTAGGTTCAGAGTAGATAATAAGTTTATTTTCAAACACAGTAAGTTTGAGATCCTTCTGGGACATTCATGAGGTGCTATCCAGTGGCTAATTTGATCCTTGGCTATGAAGCGTCAGAGAGATCTAACCTAAAGATATAAATGTAAAAATCAGCCACCTATAAGTAGTCATTTGCAGCCAAGGGAAGAGTATGGTTCTCTACACTGAAAGGACAGAGAAAAGAATAAAGGCATAACCATACAGAGTACCAATATCCAAAGGTTGGCTGAGGTTGAGGAAAAACAGTTAGAGAAGTAAGAGGAAAACCAGGAGTGATGTATGATGGAGTCCAAAGGATTTAGAGTTTTAAGAAGGCAAATAATGTTTAATGTAGTAGAAGAAATCAAGTAATAAGAGTCTAAGAAGTTGGGCATGGTGGTATGTACCAGTAGTCCTGACTACCCAGGAGGCTGAGGCAGAAGGATTGCTTGAGGCCAGGAGTTAGAGGCTGTAGTGCACTATGATTATGCTTGTAACTAGCTACCACACTCCAGCCTGGGCAACATAGTGAGATCCCATCTCTTAAAAAAAAAAAAAAAGACTGAAGAGTCTAAGAAATTTTGCGTTTAGCCTTCGGGAGATCACTAATGATCTTGAAGAAAGCACTTTCAATGAGGTAGTTGGTTAAGTGGCTAAGGGGTACTTTCTACAGTTTCTAGAAATGCGGTCAGGGAATCTCATGGTAACCCCTGGTTCCCTATTATCAGGACGAAATAAGTTCCATGATGTAAAGGGACCTTTCATTTCTGCCTTGTATGAACTGAGGAAATTGTTTAGATTTTTCAGTTCTAAGAATAGCCTAGCTATCTCAAGAAATGACGGCGACTTCATAATAGCTTTTAAAGTTCTGTGTTAAAAGGCTCCCCAGCTGCCTGTTTAGGTTAATTGGTCATGCTTTATTTCAACAGTATGGATGGATTTCGACTGGTGAAATTAAATGAGGTCATCCGGCAAGTGGACATTGTTATTACCTGTACAGGTATGATAATGACATTTTAAATGGGGTGGCACTTTGGAATGCTTTTATGGAGCAAGTTCAAGATGATTAGAAATATTCTGAAAAGCCAAACTCTAAAAGCCAGAGAGAGAGAGAGTAGCCCACAAAGCTGGTCAGGCTTTCACATTTTTGCTAATTCCTTAGAGCTCTGACCAAAGGTCATTACTATGTAAAAAAGTTTCTCTTCACCCTTTTAAGGCAACTGTTATATCTCCATTCATCCTCGGAGATTGCTAGAGATGAGATTCAGTTATAAAGTTTTATTTGGGAAGCCAGATCTTAAATGTACACTTGATTGTTTATTTTACTTCCAAAAGTGATGTATGTTTCTCTCTCGTATGTAATTAAGGCAAGGCTAGAGAGAAATTCTTCATAGTTAAAGTGGAAGAGGTTATTATGTTAATTCCTGAAGAGGTAGATGTTGAGTTTCAAAGAAGATGCAGAAATGGCTAGTTTCCTCTAGGGTAAAATATTTATTTTATTTTTATGGTAGAACCGTAAACCACAGGAACACTGGTTTTCTTTTATAATTCTATTTTAGAGTGGGAGTCAAACAAGAATAAAAAGACATTTGTAGTTGTAGCCTCAAGGAGAGTGAGGATCAGAGAAGAGGGACCTTAAGAAGCTGTTCTTGGTTCATATCAGTCCCCTGGATCTCTTTTGCTTGTTTGTTTTAAATAGAGATGAGGCCTTACTCTCTAGGCTGGTTTTTTGTTTGTTTGTTTGTTTGCTTTGAAATTTAGAAACAAATTTTATTTAAATCTGAAATATAATTCCTAAAATATCAACTTTTCCAGAAAACCATGCTATATAGTAATGCATTGCCTCTGTCATATTAGAACGTGCATTAGACTCAAATACAAAAACCATGAAACAAATCACCATCCTTCGACAATTTGAGCAAAGATAAAATGTCTGAGAACAACATAGATGGACTTGCAGAGGATGGGCTGTTTTACTTCAAGCGCCGTTTAAAAAAAAAGAGCACAAATGCATGGGTTTTCAGGTATATACATTAAGTTGAACCTTTGGCACTAGGAATCAGGGCATTTTTTTCACATAGCATTAACACATGTTAGAAAATTGTGTAGTGTCTTGTGTAGTGTCAAAGGGATAGGAACCACCAGCATTCAAGCAATGTTGTCAACGAGGCAATAAAATGTTCTGCTGAATGTTTCTTCTTTGTTCTAATTACTGCATACACTGGTAGCAACTTTGAAATGAGAAAAGGAGCTTACGCTCTTTTTATTTTCTGTTTAAAACAGAACAGAAAACAAAATGAAACATAAGCCCTGTTATACATTAATGATTTTAAAGAACATCAATTTTACAAGAAAAAGACTAAGAACAAAAAGTGTTTATAGATACAGGACAAAAATGGTGAGCTGTCTGTAGATGCTCACAGGGCTTTGTAGTGGTACTCATCAGAAGCCACTTTGTAATCACTGGCAGTAAAGAGAGATGCAGAATTCTTTGCCAGATATTTTAGGAAATCATGCACATAGCCAAACAACAATGCAAGGCTTTTCTCATCAAGGGGCGTATAGGCCAACATTGCTCCAATTCTTACAAATAATCTCAGTAGGTGTGGTGCTCCATAAAACCTGGGACATTGGAGCATCAGGGTGAGCCAAGAGGATTTCAGCATCCTGGGGCCTCTCAAATCTGTAGAGCAGCTGGCATCAGGTGATCCTCCCACCTCTGCCTCCCAAAGTGATGGGATTATAGGTGTGAGCCACCCTGCCCAGCCTGGACCTTTTAAAAAAAAAAAAATTGCTTTTTTCGAGTTGTAATTCATTTACTACACATTTCACACATTTAAAATGCTTACTGTTTTTTTTTTTTAGTAATTCACAGGGTTTGTACAACCGTTGCCACAATCTAATGCTTTTACTGAGTTGTAATTCACATCATAACGTTCATCCTTTCAAAGTATACAGTTCAATGGTTTTTAGTAAAGTTGTGGAACATCCCAGTTATCTAATTTTTATCACCCCAAAAAGAAACCTCTTATCATTAGCAGTTATTCCTTATTCCATCCTCCATAATCCTCCAGCCCTATTCTGGACATTTCATATAAGTGGAATCATAGCAACACTGTGAAAAGAAGAGGAAAAATAATAATTTTTTTTAAAAGGAATCATTCATGGCCAGGCACAGTGGCTCATTCCTGTCATCCCAGCACTTTGGGAGGCCAAGGTGGGTGGATCACCTGAGGTCAGGAATTTGAGACCAGCCTGGCCAACATGGTGAAACCCTGTCTCTACTAAAAATACAAAAAATTAGCCAGGAGTTGTGGCAGGTGCCTGTAGTTCCAGCTGCTCGGGAGGCTGAAGCAGGAGAATTGCTTGAACCCAGAAGGCCGAGGTTGCAGTGAGCTGAGATCACGCCATTGCACTCCAGCCTGGGCAACAAGAGTGAAACTCAGTTTCAGAATAAAAGGAATCATTCAATATATTGTGGTCTTTTGTGGCTGGCCTCATAGCAGGATGTTTTTGGGGCCTGCCCATGTGATGGCATATATCAGTACCTTAGTCCTTTCTATTGCTGAGTAATGTGTCATTGTGTGGTTATACCATATTTTATTTACCCATTCATCAACTGGTAGACATTTGGGTGGTTTTCCCTTTTTGGAATGAGGAATAATGCTGCTATGGAAATTGAATACAAGTTTTTTTATGTGGACATATATTTTCAGTTCCCTTGCATATTTTCTAAGAGTAGAATTGTTAGATCATACAGTAACTCTATTTTTAACATTTTCAGGTGGGTGTGGTGGCTCACACCTGTAATCCTAGCACTTTGGAATGCTGAAGTAGGCAGATCACTTGAGCCCAGGAGTTCCAGACCAGCCTGGGCAACATGGCAAAACTCTGTCTCTACAAAAACAAAACAAAACAAAAAATTAGCTAGGTGTGGTCCCAGATACTCGAGAAGCTGAGATGGGAGAATCACTTGAGCAGTTCAAAACAAAAAACAACATTTTGAGGAATTTGCAAGCCTTTTTTTTTTTGGAGATGGAGTCTCGCTCTGTAGCCCAGGCTAGAATGCAGTCAGGCAATCTCGGCTCACTGCAGCTTAATGTCTCCCAGGTTCAAGCGATTCTCCTGCCTTAGGCTCCTGAGTAGCTGGGACTACAGGTGCACACCACCATGCCCAGCTAATTTTTTGTATTTTAGAAGAGACGGGGTTTTGTTGTGTTGCCCAGGCTGGTCTCAAACTCCTGAGGTCAGGCAATCCACCTGCCTTGGCCTCCCAAAGTGCTAGGATTACAGATGTGAGCCACCATGCCCAGCCAGAATTGCCAAACTTTTTAAAAGTGACTGCACCATTTTACAATCCCAATAACAATACGTGTGCCTTCTGATTTCTCCACATCTTCACCAACACTTATTACTGTCAGTCTTTTTGATATTGCCATCCTAGTGAGTATAAAGTGGTATTTTGTTGTGGTTTTGATTTCTATTTCCCTAATGACTAATGATGTTGATCATCTTTTCATGTGTTTATTGTTCATCTTCTTTGAAGAAATGTTGATTCAGGTCCTTTTCTTTGTTTTATTTATTTATTTTTTTTATTTTTTTATTTTTTGGAGACAGGGTCTTAGTCTATCTCCCAGGCTGGAGTGCAGTGGTGCAATCACAGCTCACTGCAGCCTCAACCTGTAGGGCTCAGTTGATCCTCCCACCTTAGCCTTCCTAATAGCCAGGACTACAGGCACATGCCACCATACCCAGCTTATTTTTTTATTTTTATTTTTTTTTAGAAATGGGGCTTTGCCATCATGTTACCCAGGCTGGTCTTAAACTCCAGGGATCAAGTGATTACTTCTGTCTCAGCCTCCCAAAATGCTGGGATTACAGGCGTAAGCCAGCATGCCTGGCATGCTTATTTTTAAATTGTCATCTTCTTATTGGGTTGTAAGAATTTCTTAAAACAAATCCCTTATCAGTTACATGATTCGCACATTTTTTTTCTCATTCTGTGGATTATCTTTCTTAATGGTATCATCTGCAGCACAAAAGTTTTTAATTTTGACATAGTCCAGTTTATCTACTTTTTCTTTGGTTGCTTGTGCCTTAGGTGTTGTATCGCTTAAAATACTATTGCCTAATCCATCACAAAGAGTTATTTCTGTGTTCTTCTTCTTCTAAGAGTTTTATAGTTTTAGCTCTGCAATTAGGTTATGATCCATTTTGGGTTAATTTTTATATATTGTATGAGGTAGTGGTCCAACTTTATTCCTTTTCATGTGGATATCTTGTCTGGGTTTTTTTTGTGGTTTTTGTTGTTATTGTTGTTGTTTTTCTTTCAGCGCCTTCAATTAGGTTCTGTGGTCAGAATGGTAGGCAGGGAGTGGGAAAGGTGGTGCTTCTTGAGCCCCACTTAGCAACTGGTCAGTCCGCATCCTCCAGCATCCTGGATCTTGCTGGGGTCAAAGCAGTTGGATTCCACTGCTTTGGGGAGGCCACTGGCCTCTTGGTATTTCACAAGCCTCTCAGTTTTGCGGCAAGCCCATTCTTGCATTCTGTAGTCAGGCAGATAGGCCGCAAAGGTGCTGCCAAGGACCAGGATGATGGAGAAGCCAAAGAAGACTAGTTGCATGTTCCAGACATCCAAAACGGGGTCCTTGGCATAATCATGAGAGTCTGGATTCTTCTCATAGATATTTTTGTCCTTGAGATCTGGGTCCTCCTGCCAGTGTATGGTTGATTCTGGGGCTGCTTTCCTGCCACAGCTGACAGGGCAACCATGGTCCTGGAGAAGCTGGATTCCCAGTGAATGCGGGTGGCCGGGAGCTCTCACGTCGCTGTGGCCACCAAAAGATGGCGAGCACTCAAACCTTTCTTCTGTTTTTAAGGAAACAAGAATGTGGTAACCAGAGAGCACTTGGACCGTATGAAGAATAGCTGCATCGTTTGTAACATGGGACATTCCAACACAGAGATTGATGTGGTAAGATCAAGTGGCTCATTACTGGGGGCTTTTTTCTCTCCTTCACAAGAAACAAACTGGAAAATGAAAAAGCAGGGTCACAAGCCATTCTAAACATGACTATCCTGGCAGAGTTGTCCACATGTTTTCACTTACTAGCCCTATAGCCTGTGTTTGTGGAGACTATGAAGTTTCTCCATCTCATTTTAGTCATTTTATTTTATTTATTTATTTATTT